ACAACATTAGGAAATTGCTGCGGTGCTTCAGTGCAAACATACTGTCATAAGTTACGCTTAAAGACATGAAATAAAAATAAGAATAAGAATTAAAAGTGCTAAGTAGATAAGTACGATCTACTGTACAATATAAATCGCCTTGGGGGCAACTGGTGTTGTGATTTGGCGCTCTATAAATAAAATTGAATTGAATGTTAATCATATTTTGCAGGGCCATGCCAGGACAGAGGCAGGGCTGCTGGAGTTGGAAGCTCCTGGTCATCTTCAGCCTCCTCGGCCTCACTGAAGAGTTCGGTAAGAGACTTCCTCGTAATTCTGGTGACCTGTTCATGGTGTCCCCTGCCCTATGACAGCTGGGATAGGCTCCAGCGACCCTGATAAGGATAAACAGACCAGAATGGATGGATAGATGTCTATATTGTAACATCTTGGAGCTGACATCACTGGATGAGAATCCTGAATACTGCAACTAACATTCGGCTTCTCTTCAGAACATAATTTTTTATACTAGCATTTTATTACACAGCCCATAAACTAAGGTTAATTTCCATTTCAAAGTAGCAAAAAAACTACTATGAAAACACGTCATTACATATAAAAATGAGCTCCTTTTAAATACTTCCTGTCTGCTCTCCTGTAACGTGTCATGTTTAAAATCACATTTCTGTCCTGTGGAAACCACACATCTCTGCACTGCAAAGACAAACACTCAAAGCAATTCAATAAATTAAATAATCTAAACTTAATTATTTTTTAAAAACAGCCCCAGTAATTCAAATAGCTTCATCTAATATTTTCTTCCATTTCAGTTCAACTTATTATTTTTCATCAGCTGTTTTGCATTATTATTAACTGCTACGTTAAAAATATAATTTAATTTTACAAATTTATTAAAATTATTTGGCAGTGATCTTTGGAAGCTACAGATTCCTGAGGTCTTTAGTCTGATGGAGAAGCTGGATCGATTCTGAGAAAAGACGTTTAGAGTAAAATCCCTGATGCTCGCAGGTTCTTCACTAACATCAAACAAAGTTTAGAGTCTGGATCACTGTATCGGGTTCTGTTTGTTGCTGCTGTTTTATTTCATTGTTTGTTGCAGTAACTGGACCACAAGACATTTCTGATAGTCATGTTAACCACGCACGTTAATCATACCCATGGTGAGGATACAGTCTTTGTTCGGCTGGTTGGAGTGAAGTTCTCACCCTCGTGTTGGCCTCAGCTTCATAATGAAGCGTGTCGTGACCCGAAGCAAAGCTTACACTTGTTTCCCGTCTTTATTTGTACAAGAAAGTTACAATTACATATCAGCAGTACACAAAGGTTAGATAAAACACAAATTTTGTATCACACTTTATTGATGGAAGCCACAGGAACAGCGTACAAAAACTCATTCAAGGCAGGAACCAGGAACTTACACACTAGGAACTACAAAGAAGCACGAGGCACGCAGCAACAAGAGACTCAGGCAAAGTTGTTGCTCAATACCCAAGTAAGCAGGTCTGTGCTTGTGTTCTTGCTAGTTTGTACTTCGAACATTTGTACAGCAGTCCAGACTTTCCAAGAACAGGAGGACACCATCACTCTACCATCATCATGGTCCTCTGGTCTCATGGCTCGCTCTCACTTTTGCACTCTCCTCTCTCTGTCTGTTTAATCACACTTTGCTTTGTCGCGGCGTGTCTGTACCTGGGCTGATTATCACACCAGTCATTCAACACCAGATTGTGTTTAAGATGGGCTTAAAGAGACTGTTCTGAGCTGTGAGTAGTTTGTTTCTGTTGTTGCTGCCGGTCAAACCTTCATGAGCCCCGTTACAGTCGTCACTTTAAATAAACACACTGAACTGTGGATGAGTGAGTCTGCTGACAGTAACCATGACAACCACTGGAATGACAGCGTACTTGAAGACTACTTCATTTCATAGATTAATATTTACAATGGAAATCGCCCATCATACACGTAATAACAAGATTTCTAATAATTCTTCTAACAGCCATCGATCGATCTGATCTGTTTTACCTTTGGTTAGGCACCAAAACCAAAAATATAAAATTAAACTTCACTTTAAACATAAATTAAAAACACAATGTGAGCAGTCTTTACGAGCTCTGTGTTGTTTCTGGTTATGTTCGTTCTTCTTGGCCAGTCTGTGCCAGGACTTGTGTTGTGTGTGGATGCAAGGAAAGGAGGACCCAAACGCTGGACTCACAGATAGGTGAAGGCTAGTGTTTGTTATGATGAGCGGATGAACAGGACATGAAACGGAGGACCGACTGAACTGAAATAGCTGAACTGGCTGGAGTGGATCACGTATGGCGTAGACGCATTCAAAGACATGATGTTGAACAAGTGGAAACAGAAGACTTAAACACACAGACTGATGAGAGACACAGCTGAACACAATCTGGCTAACAACACATGAGACGAGCTGACAGGAAAAACAGGAAGTGAGAACAACATTGATGTGGAAAAATAAACTAAAATGACAAAACTGAAAACACTGGGTCAACGAGCCAGGAACCCCGACAGTCTGTCTCTGCTCCATGTTCTGTCTTCAGTGTCCCTGTTTTAATTCACCTCCGACCTCTCCGGTCATGTTCGCGTCTCTCTTTGCTCTCTCCGTGAACATCACCTCTTGTCTCTGTCTCTTGTTCTGTTCTTGCCCAGCTTAGATAGTGTATTTTGGGGTTTCTTGGTCACTTTGTTATCTGCAATGAAGTTCTGACTTTGAGTTTTACATTCTGCAATAAAGTGGCAGAGCTAGGATAACAAGACGGAAACAATCCTGTAATAATGATTAGAGATTGGATAAAACTGTATTAATCGCTCGGGTGGGTTCCCCCAGGAAAGTCAGTTGTTGTCATTTCAAAGTTATTACCACTCAATTATAACATAGTAACCAGTTAATATTCAAGTAAACTCATGGTGGCCGTCAGTAATAATAGTGTAATACCTTTGTAACAATACAAAAATGAGTTTGAATTTTCACATTTTTATACAGTTTCAATTGGGATAACCTAATAATAATAATAAGGTAATAGTGACTGATGTTTTAGCTGATTTGGATAGTATTACTATATTATAATGTTTGAATTAATCCTACCTCAAGTTTCCAACATTCTGCTTTGCTTAAAATCAATAATGTAAATATTATGTTTATTGCTCTGAATTATTAAATGGGAATCTCTGTGGTAGTTTCTGTTCAATAAGCAGGAAACGAGGCTGCAAAATGCAAAACTGCCTGTTTCTAATTAATAACACATTGATAACCATGGTAACATCATTTTAAAGCAAAGAATAGTAAAGATAGTAAATAAACAATATTGATGACTACAAGGAAATCCATATGGCTGTTTCTGTGTAATAACCTGAACCTTAATAAAATGGTAATTATAACTGATTGAAACAACATCAGTGTTTCTCACTAATGCAAAATGCTGAGAATTAAATTTAAAAGAATGCTACATGAATGCATTAGAGTTGCATGGGAGCGTAGAAGACCCTCTTTCACAGCGTATTTTATATTTGGATTATAAAATAAAATATATTTTAACATTTTATATGTAGGAAAGAAAGTAGGAGTAGTAATAGAACAATGGAAATGTGCAGTACACAAAAATAAGATACCAAGAGGTCCTCTAACTTGTCCACTACAGTGTTATGGGGCCACAACTCCACTGTCCTGCACCACCTTCATCATAAATTGACCCCTAACCATCCAATGATCCAGCCTCTCCTGTAGCTATAGCACCAAGCGGCCTGCTTGCATACACATGGCTGTAGTGTTGATCACCTGGTTGGTTTCGGTGATGGTCGCAGTGAGGACTGCTCGTAATGCTGCTTTCACATCTTCTAGTTGACCTTCAGAGGATACGTCACGTAGTCTTGGTGACTGAAGGCTCCAGGTTTCCAGCTTCGCCATCATCCTGTCTCTCTGGTCAGCTTCTGTTGCACTCTGCGCTCCTTTCTTTGTACTTGGAGCTTGGTACCCAATCTCACTGGTGTTATCACCCACCTGACCTGATGTCACAGGTCACAGGTTAGCCCTTAGGCAAGGTACAAACAAGAACGTAGAGTATTTTAGAGCCAGGTGTACACTGACGCATACAACGACCGAGTGGTGTCTATTTACACCTACAGGCCAGTGGACGCTCTTTCAACGATGAGGATGTAACATCCTGGACAGTGAGGAACGCTGGTTTGAGGGCGGAGTCAAGGAGGCCATTTACGTGAAAAGGGAAAGACCATCTCTGAATGGAGGAGGGGCCTAAGGGTCCATCTGTCACCATCTTACCATGCTGTGATTGCAGCCATTCCCCAACAGTCATTGTTTCTGTCATTATGCAAATGTGCTGTTTATAAGGTTGCAACCTGTTGGCAGCTGAGACTGAAGGAGTCACCTGATGATGATGATGATGATGATGATGATGATGAAACGTTTCTCCCACTGAAAACGTCCAGATGAACAGGATCAAACTTTGGAGAGTGACTTACCTGGATGATTGAGCATGGATCACTTTACAGGCACACAGCAGAGACACATTTCTATGTTTTTCAGCGTTCTGTATTTACTCTCGGTTGCCGTCACTTTACACGCCCACACGTGAACACTTCCCCAGCAACAACGACGACGATGACAGGACGTCAGTCACCCTTTTAATTCAGGCGCAGTGTGATCATTGATGCCGCTCAGGTGCGTACACCTCGCTGCAGCCGCGCCACAATCACCTACAAAATGTCTGTTATAGTTGATTAGGGGCATACAAACACAGTGTAGGAGTGGTTCTTAACTGGAACCAGCACTTAGTTCCCCTTAACTAATTTAAACTGTGTTTCAATGTTTTCAGAGGCGAAAGAAGATGAGTGGGAGGAGCTCGGCTCTGACATCGCTGCACTGCATCGACTCCAAGGACTGTCTGAACACATGTTTGACGAAAGCTTTATGAACACCTCAACAACCAGGTATCTTATGACTGGAACAGTGTTATGTGACGGCTGTGTGCAGACAGGAATCGTGGACCCAAAAGTGCAGACACTCGGAGGCACAAAGTAAACTTCAAAAAACAGCTTTAATGTTGAACTCAAACATAACATAACTGGAAAAAATCAAAATAAACTTACACCGGAGGACTGACAGAACACACAGCTCGGTAAACGGTAGATCGCGACACAGACACAGAGAAACACAGGGCTTAAATACACAGAGGGAGCAATCAGGGAATGGGTAACAGGAGGGAAACACAGCTGGGGCAAATCAGGCCTAACGAGACAAAGGAAGCAAAACCAGACACATTAACGTGAGACATGGACTTTCAAAGTAAAACAGGAGACATGACACAGACTGAACTAAAGACACAGACTCACACGCACTGCAACAGAGGGAACAGAGACGTGGGACCAGGGCAGACAGACACTGACCGGACACGGGGAAATAGCAACTAAGGATACACAGAGACACGAACTAGACAAGGGGATACAGCTGACAGGGGAGACAGAGCAGCTAGAGAAGACAGAGACATAAACCATAAGACAGAACTCAAAGAAACCAAAGACTAGAAATTATAAATAATAAACTCAAAAACCCGGGTCAACGACCCAGGCATCCTAACAAACAGCTATTACTACATTACAGCTCCTGTGGGTATCATAGACATTGGTTATCAGAAGCACTGTGGGGCTCTGCCACTGTGACTGGAATTGTAGAGATGTAATGTAATCCTGTGCAGCAGGCAGATACTGACCCGGCGTGCCGCAGACAGCACTTAAGCTTTGATGCCAAAGTCTTTTCAAACACACAGAGGTGGACCCAGGAGTAAATGATAACAAGCAGAACTCGAGTGAAACCACAGAATGAGGGAGGACAAGCCAAAGGACAGGAGTTAGACTCAGACAATAAACACACAGCAGGTAAGGAGGGCGGAGGAAACAGGTGGGAGCGAATCAGAAGACGAGACGAGGAACCAGACAAAGACCCAGTGACATGAGAGAAGAATGCACCTACAGATTTCAGACTTCACTTTGAGATTTTACCACTTGTACAAAATAAAATTAAGTAAAAAGTAATCTATAACAAATAATGCAGGATGTGTTTCGTTTAGGGGAAACGACTACCACCAATCAAGATTTGGAAGATCTGTGAAAAGGTAAAGAAGCTTTCAGTCATTTACATTTTTTAAATGGTGTTTAGCAGGTTTGACATCTGGATATTTTATGTCCTTTGCAAGTATTTGTAAAAGAATTTGGACAGTGCTTCACAATACACTGGACTTTTTTATTAATAGTTGGTTATTAATGAGCCAAAAAGCCCGTTAGGATTTATCACAGCAGATCATCTGCCTCCTCTGCACTTCCTCCTTCACTACATCCATGGATCTTCTCTGAGGACTTCCTGTTTTCCTGCTGCCTGGCTCCATCTTCACATCCTTAGTCCAGTGTATCCACCCTTCCTCCTCTGCACGTCTCTAACTTTGTCTCCAGCCTGCTCAGCAGCAGCTGTCCCTCTGATGTACAATCAACTCTGTCCAACGTGGATTTAGTTTGTTTTATTTATTTATTTTAAAGATAGGGAACACAAACGGCACTTAGCTTGTTTATGGTACTTTGGAGTATTTTAAAGAAGTGAATAAACAACACGTCGCCACTGTCACATCCTGGTTCTTTATTTGCTGCTGAGCTTTTTGTTCTGGGCTATGACCTGGTGTTTTGTGCTGATTGAATTTTGAATCTTGTCACTCATCATTGCTTTGATTTTGAATTTGGATTTCAAAGCGTTTATTGTCATGTGCACAAGGAAAAGCATTTCTCTGTTCAATGAAATTCTTTCTCTGCTGTCCACAGACAGATGCTGGTTAATATGTGCAAATAGATAAAATACAAATAGCATGAATAAATAAATGGAGACAAAAAATGAAGTATTAAATAGATTTATGTACAAAGGAGCTGTGAGCTTAATATACTGCTTTGATATGTGAGATGACCAGAAGTGCAAAAAAATTATTATTACTGTTCAAAAATGGGTCAGCTGTTCAAGAGTCTGATATCAGTGGGGAAGAAGGAGTTGTTGAGTCTGGATGTTCTGAACCTTCGTCTCGAGGGCAGAAGTGTGAACAGTGTGTGTTGGGGGTGTGTGGGGTCTTTGAGGATGGAGGCAGCTCTCCTCTGGACTCTGTAGATGATCTGCAGAGACGACAGCGGGGTCCTGGGGATCTTCTCCGTGGTTGTTAGGGTTCTCTCTGCAGGCGTTTGCCGTCCATAGCAGTGGTACTGCCGTACCATGCAGTGATGCAGCTGGTCAGGGTGCCCTCCACGATGCAGCTGTAGAAGCTGCTGGCATACCAGGTTTCCTCAGCCTCCTCAGGAAATGCAGCCGCTGCTGAGCCTTCTTGACCAGCTGTGTGGTGTTCAGTGTCCAGGTGTTGTCCTCACACCATGACACCAGACCGGCCTCCTCTCTCCTGTAAGCCGCCTCGTCCCCTCAGTGATGCGACCGATCACTGCAGTGTGGTCCACGAACTTCAGTATGGTGTTATCCCTATTGGAGGCGACACAGTCGTGGGTGTACAGGGTGTAGAGGACGGGACTGAGGACACAACCTTGTGGGACACCAGTGTTTGTAATAATGCTGGCTGAAGTCCTGTTGCCCATCCTGAGGGACTGGGGCCTGCCAGTCAAAACGTCCTGTAGCCAGTCACAGAGGGTGAGCTGGAGGCCGAGTGCTGCCAGCTTGTGAGTGAGTTTGTGTAGGATGATGGTATTGAATGCAGAGCTGTAATCAACAAAAAGTACCCTGATGTATGAGTCTTCGTTTTCCAGGTGGGAGAGGGAATAGTGAAGGCAGCAGCGATGGTGTCTGACGTGGACCTATTGGGCCGGTAGGATTTCTGCAGGGGGTCCAGAGTTGCTTAACTTTTATAGTTAGTTTCCTTGTGCTCATGAGCATCCTGATTGTATTGTTTCTCTGGTGTAATTTAGACGTCTTTAGGTTATCTAGTTTCCTTTAGCAGTCCCCTCTTGTTCCTTGCTCTCCCTCTCTCTCCTGCTGCCTCTCTAGCTCTCTCTGGTCTGCCATGTGTGCTATTGTCTTCCCATATCTTAGTCTGCCTGGAACTGGAGGCTTAGCTTCTCCAAGAGATAGTGTAAGCAATGAGAATGTCTAAGTTGTGGAATTAAATTCAGACACAGGTGGCCAGGAGGAGACAGAGAAGGAATACCTGTCCTCATTGATGCACCTGCACCCCCCAAGGCCCTGCATGTGTGAGGGTGTGATGGAGTGGGAGGAGCCCACTGAGGACAGGGGTCCCAGGCCCATCCTGATAGACGCCCTCCAGCTCAGCTCTAGTATCATTTTGAGGAGCCCATGTTTGAGCCTCTGACTGTTGTATAAGATCCAAGAATCATGTTTTTAAAATATATTTTGTCATTTCGTTTATTTCACAGGGTTATGAGATCACTTCAGTTATGCTAATATGTTAATTTTCCATCAGGCTGGACACTGAAGAAAACCCACTCACTTTGCTGGATGGATTTCAGGACTGTGAAAACGTCACAGCTCATGTCATTACGAAGGAGAAGGTCAGTAAACATGAGACAGAAAGTGAACACACATTTAGATTTAAGAGATTAAACAGTGCTGAAAACACAGAGATTGTTTCTAATGATGAAAGTCATTAGATCTAAACTAGAACTTGATCGGGCTGATAAAGATCAGCATTTCCTTCCACTGAGTATCTGCATCTTTTCTTCTTCTAAAATGGGACAAAATGTGAATTCAACATGAACAAAGAAAAAGACTTACTAACAGCATTAAAACAGCTCGTAGTGGTAGCTGGGTTAGCTCGAGGACGTGTTTCATACCTGATCGACACATCAGAGCAGTATTAACTTAGTTATTACAACACGCACACGGCTCAGTCAGGCCTGGTTTTGAACCCGGTCTTCATTGAAGCAGAGTGTTGTACTTCTTCCTGTTTGCACTTCATGTTCAGTCACATCCTTCAGCTGTCTGAGAATTTGGGATAAGACAGAATGAATAGTTTTGCATTAAAATGTCCCACCTCACTCCTCACACACAAACATCACAGACGTTAGTGTAGCTGCTGCACGTTTATCTTCTAACCTGAGCAAATGTATGACAGTAAATGTCTTTAACATCCGGGTGAGGAAATCCCCAAAAATCCGATTGTGTTCATGTGGACGTCACGTTTTCAGTGGGAGAAACGTTTCGTCATCATCCCAGTCGGATGACAGGAAAACATTCCCTTTTACATCCACCCTGGAATGCTCAGTCACTATCTTCTCCTAATAGAAACACACGAGGGATGTTTGAGTTTGTGTTATTATAGTTTTGTAATTTCTAATAAATGTTTCTTTATGTTTCACTTTTCTTTATACAATTTATTTTAGCTTCAGGCAGTTTGAACATGTTTAGTTTTAGTCTATTTAATTACTAGTATAATAATCAAAGTTGTGACATGTCAGGGAACACTGTCACAGATAGTAAGATCAGAAACTTTATTTCACAGCAGACATTTTAAAATGGGGACTTTGAACAAGGGCTGAGAGGAGGCAGCCCACGGTCCCAAGAAGAGATCAATCAATCAGCTTCCACCCAGCAATAGAGATTGACAGACCACGTGACTTTCGCGCATTGCATGCCGGGAACTCGTGGCAAAACAATCAAAGTACCGCATCAAATGCAAGCATTTG